AGTATGCATGAAGACATAATAGATGCCGTCCGTGTCGATTAAGCGTGTCGTAAAAGTAACAACGAAGAGCAGTTTTTCTCCAGAAGAGCGAGCCACTTTCGTGTGATAGCAAGAGGAGCAAGCAGCCCGAGCATATGAGACAGCTGCTCGAATTTCCACCTCACATCATCGAGGATATCATAGCCAACCTGTCCTTAACCGACTTATTGGCATTCAGACGTTGCTCGAAGCAGACACGAGACGTTCGTTCTTTTTCTGTTCAATATTTCGAAGGCAAAATCCATGGTATTGGATGTAAAAGTGTTCTTGGGTAATATGATATATTTCCACAAAACGAGAAAAAAACTATTGGTTAAAGATTTAAAGATAAGTAGAAAACTAAAGTTACAAAACGTTCGAGATAGTGACAGTCCCTCGAAAGTGTGCCTTGCATTCGACTAAGCATCGAATGTTTGGCTTTGCATTTGGCCCATAGAATAATTACTGGAGTCTACCAAGCTATGAGGTTACTGACCTCCCCAGATAGGTATGGTATGGAAGAACGAACCACGAACATGTGTGTGCTCCAGGAAAGCTCTATTCACTGCGCTACGTGCGCCGTCGAATAGCAGAGAATATTCGCCTTAGATCAATATACAAGCCTTACGGGACTGCTCTTATCCAGGTAGTCGTACGATATGGTCTGAAGAAATCAACTAAATTTCTCTTAAAAACAATTCTGTTTTGTTAAATGTGAATTGCGCTTGGTAAACTTAGGTTATTTTCGAAGATCATGCAGATCTCCATCACTGAAAACCATCCGTTTAGATTGTTGACTGGCATTTTTACTCGCAGAAATCGTTAGTGGTACGCGTAAAGGAGATGCATAGACTCTTTCCGCATCTCGATCCCAGTCAAGAACAGTTTAGAAGCCTCTTCCATATTAGACACGAGGCAAGTTGACATTCTGCAATGCCCTTCTGTGCTCTCTCTCTCTCTATGATGNCTCTCTCTCTCTCTATGATGTCGAAATTCTCCCATAGTTGAGTATTGCCGTTCCTGATGGATCTTGTATGCATCATTCGTTTCTTCCAATCCAGACAGACTCTCCACGTGCACAGATGAATCAACTGCACAAACAACGCGTTTAATGAAGAATACAATCAACTTGGCTAAGTTTAAGTTGATAAACACGATGTGTAAAGCTGATTGTTCTGAAACAACACGAAGTACTCTTACGACTTCCTATGTATCCTATTTTAGACTTGAAATTTTTCAACGTTCATGAAAATTTCGTCCATTCACAAATCGAGAAACCCGGTTTTCGACCATCCGGGATGTTTACTAATTATATTAGCCCAGAAACTTATTTTCCTTACAACTCGAGTACAGTAAAGGATGAAGAATAAATCTCTCGGCGTTAATCAATCCCTGAGGGTAAGCCATGCATTCGACTTCATTAAGTGTCGTTGGAGGTGAATGAATGCATATCTGGCCTTCACAACGACTCGAGGTGGCCTACCGATGTATCGGGCTAGTGCTGCTATCCTCGTGTACAAGTGTGGTGCCAATTTGCCGACCCCGTAGGAATGGAAAGCTAGGTGCGCCATGGGCGCGGGGATCGGTTCTGCGTTTGTGCCGCAGCGGCGTCTCCAACGACTGCGCCACTCGCTGCTACAATAGTCAACAATTTTCTGCATCATTGAGCTGACAAGAGGCTTGTATGAAAACATTTTACTCGGTAAACCTTACGGCAGCTACACATTCATTGGAGCCAGATTGATTAGAGTGTCAAACAAAATGAATAAAGCTTTTATTTCATATTTTGTACTAAAGCTATTTATATACCATACTTTATAGTTAACATACTCATACTATGAGCTCGCTCGTGTTGAAGATTATTAGTTTATATTATCTAAGAAACTTCTGTTTTCATGCTCACATGAGGTTGTCAACAGGTGCCTTCGTCATTGAGGGCTGATATTCCAGCGATTTTGCCTTCTAAAAAGCCCTTTTCTTTGTTAAAGATTGAAAATGTGTCTAAGTTGGTACACATGCGATGAAGAAGCTTTACAATGGCTAACGAAGACTAAAGTACTTGTTAAAAACCTCTTGTCAGCTCAAAAAAAGAGAACAAAATAATATGTGTCCTCCTTCGCTGACAACCCTACCAAGCTCGCTGTTCGTCAGTTCACTAGCTCAACAGTTTTCTCTGAGGTTAACACTCCTACGAGAGCTGATTTGCATTCATAGGGCGCAAAAATAACGACTGACTTCAGGTTAAAGCCAGCATTTCTCAACTGAAAGTAAGCTTTTCTAATTGAATGAATATCTGGCCTATACATTCACATGGGAGAAAGTACTATCGAAGTGTTAAGCTACTATTCTATTCTCATAGACGAGTCTCGTACTCCACTGAATATGTGGGAATGTTTGATTATCCCGAACGCAATGTCGAGCCAAAGACAGCGTGTGTATTGCGGAATGCTCTAATCACCGCACTATGCACATCGTCATGTCGATAGTGCCTTCTTCTTTTCTGATCATCATAGATAGAATTTCGAACAACGTAGAAAGAAGTGACTTTTACAAATGCATCGACTTTTGCAGTTGAGGGAGCTCTTTTCGGTGCTTCAGAAGGATCGGCTAGTCGCGGTTGATTTCAGTGGCGTTCGACGGTTTGAGTGTGCTATCGTGATGAAGATAATGATTGTAAGGCTGCTCGTCTTGTTCAAACGATTTCCTCCCTCGTTAAGATCTGATTACCAGCATTTTGTTTCGTTTCCACAATAATACACATCACTACGATTACTGAGTAGGCGATTACGATTGAAGGTATTCATAAGCATTTTAATGGTCACATTCAGTAGTTTGCCCACTAACACAGGTTGAACGAGAACTGTGCTTCCGACTCAGATTCGCTGTTTACTTCCCTGTTATCGTCCTCATTTTTTTTTAGGAAAGTGGAACACATGTATACTCTGCATTTTCTAACGTGACTAGCTTGTCTTTCGCTGGCTGTTTTCTGAGCTCCTATGACCTTCTTTTGGTGTCGCTGCGTACGCAAAAGTTGAAATCTCTAACTCTGACGGATCGTATGGTGAACCATCATCTTCCCAAGTAAGCGCTTACTACTACGTTTTTTAGATATTTAAGCCTAAAGCGATCTATTTTTTTTAGAGTGGACATTGATCCAAGTCAAATAGAAAACTTCCATGTTTTGGAGAAACAAGGCCTGATTGGGCATCGACGAGCGATCATANGAGCGATCATATCATATGTGAAGAAACTGTGGCCTACTCTGCAGTACCTGACTCTTTTGTGATTCGGCGAAAATCGTGTCAACGATTAAATAGACGTTTTCCTATCTGACTAACAGTACTCGCTGTGATGAGGTTTTAAATGCGTTGTTTAAGGGCACATCTATGCATGCTTGAGTCAGGATGATATAAATTCCTTTACAAAACGATGAACCTCTATTGTAGAGTACGGACTGCTTGGGTGGTGATTCTCAACTCTTGCTTGCTCTCCATTGGTAGACCATTTTAGAAACACCTTTCACTTACAGATGGGCACTAGGCAGTACTTCGTATGGGTCACGTCAGTCCACTCCGCATCCAATACTGCAGTGGTTTCTCTACATGATTTTAACCACATATCTTCCTCCATCATTGCCCTGGTTTTTTAAAAATATACACGGTCATTTCTAAAAAGTACGAAATAATTACATTAAATTCAACTGAGGATAGCAGCGGAGAAGCCCGCCGTCAATGTACACATCTATGGCTGGTTCTGACAAGCAATATTATGTTTCACTGGTAATAGAAGGATAAAGAATGGGTAAAGCTCTCAGCGTTGATTTATCTCCGAGGGATGCACTACACATACGACTTCATGAAATATCGTTGGAGGTGACTGAATGCATCGTCGGCCTTTATAATGATTCGCGGATGCTTACCGATGCATGGAACCAGTGTTGCTGCCTTCCCAGACAAGTCTAGTACGAATTTGCCGTCCCCGGAAGGATGGACGGCTTGATAGGTCTGGAGCGTGGAGATCGATCCCATGTGCATTGCAGGCCACCTCCGACCATTTCGCTGGATGCGCTACTAGTGTTTCACCAGTAACCACATTTCAATATTATCTTAGATTTCCTGCATTTACAAGGTGGTGCGAGGCCGTTAAAATGTGTTCGATACTTTATAACCGAAATTTCGGTAACTTCGCCTTCCTCGGAACCTTGACGTGTTTTATGTGGCTCTATACTTTCAATTTATTAAATTCTGTACGTTCTTAAGATTGGATTTAATAGGTAAATTGCGACCACTTTTAACTTTAATCCAACGAATCGTAACCCATATCAACCTTTATCAAAAATCTGAGCCTCTGGAAAACATTACAGATATTCCTTCCAGTTCCTTGCTTCAATGTTTATATTTTGAGCACAAGATCTCTACATACACCACACGACATCACATATTATACACATCCCCGCATTTATTTCTGTCACTGGTTTTTGCGTACGCAGCATTCATAAAGGTCTTTCGGTTTTCGAATATACGTTCGGTCGCTTAAAGATCTTGATTCCTTTTATGGATGCTGGTCAAGCTCTGTCCGGAAAACTGGCATAGCCGTGCTAAAGCGTTAAGACGTGGAGCGAGGGAATGAGCAGCTCCCGAACAAGTCTAGTGGCAATCAACGGGCGTCGGAGGTCTGAAAGGCCTGAATGACCGCTTTCGCTTTACAG